CTATTAACTCCAGGACCAGGCTGCGAGATGTTTTGGTGTGGTGCAGTTAGGAATAATCTGCTCCCGTATTGGATGTCTGGGATGTACCACTAAGAAATGTGGTGCAGTCTCACCCAATGGGATTACTTCTGGAGTAAGGTATTATTTGAATATTGTCACTACAGCCAGGTTTGTGATAGGAGTAAATCTCCCTTTTCATATGAACTGTAGTCCTTGGAGGGGTGAAATATAATCCTGAACAGGGGCTCTATTTACCACTTAAGCCCTATTTTATGGTTTAAGTGCTGACCTTGTACTGACCCTCGGTACAGGGCTGAATTTCTCCCTACAGCGAAAATCTGCTGGCTAGAGCAGCTGACTAAAGAGATCGGGGCTAGACTTTTTAGTATTTGCAAGACAATGAAAACAGGTTTATTTTAGACAAAAATGTTTCTGATTTATGAGAATTTCAGTGCAGAAAGGGGCTATTTTGGAGAAAGTCTTGAGATTAGAATTTCAGTTATATTTTTGGCAGGAGAGCAAGGAAGCCATTTCATTAACTTTTCACTGGAAGTTATATATGGAGGGAATTTGTGTACACAGCTGGGCAGCATAAAACAGGAGGGCTTTGTGTGAAAATATCCTGAAATGAAATTTCATTTCTGTGCAACTTGGATCTGCTTTCCGGGGCTGCAGTGGCCAGTTTTGGATGAAACCGTAGGAGGGCAGTATTAGGCCCTCACACATTTTCCTTTACATTTGTAATGCATGCAGAAATAGTGAACAGACCACTGCTGGTCCCTGTGCAAAATCAGTGTCACCTTTTACAGCTTTATGTCAGTCAGATAAGCTCCTGCCTGCTCCCACGTATCCATATGGCTGTAATCATCAAGCGATACCAAGAGATTAAATGTTTGTAAGGAACTCCAAAAGCCACATGCTGAGGCTGGTGTGAATTTAGCTCCGCTTTGACCTCCCTTCCCACCAGATGGCTGCTAATCTGGCACTAAATCACCACCATGGTGGAAAGAGTCCCCAGTTCCTTGTGGAAGAGGCAACAATGTGGTCATGGCTGTGCTGTGCAAGGTGGGAGCATCCCTGAGTCATCGCCTGGGAGTGTTACTCATCCTTGGGTACTGTATTTCTAAAGGCATGTCTTGTGTAGCTTCCAGATTTCACAGGACCCTCTAATAACTGTGCTTATTAGGAGCCCATAGAGATGTTTTTTGCTTGGGGTGTGATGGTCTGCTTGTTGCACATCTTGTGGGTGCATGAAACAGGCGGGGACACAGGCCAATGCAGAGGATGTTTATTTAATATTACTTTAAGTTACATTAGTTGTTCTTTACTTATGCATGCATATTGATATTCTATACACTTTGTCATTTATGTCATTTTGTGTGTGTCAGGGCAAAAAGTGTATAATTGGGGATAATGCATGTGCTGAGGAGTCCTATTTTAATTTTTCAGGGCAGAAATGTAGATAATTTTGCAAGTGCTTATTTGCAAATGAACCCATGTTTCGCTCTGCCCTGATGTTTTGTAGGCGTTGGCATGGGGAATTCTTTATCTCCATCCAAATGAGCTCTTCCCCACGGGAAAAAGCAAGCAGAGATAGCTGCCTCCACTCCTACACAAAATACGAGTCATTGTCTGGCTTTACTCCTATGTCCCAAGCTTTACTTGAGTCAGTTCTCATCAGTGCTAAGGTCAAACAGAACTGCATTTTCTCAGTGCTCATTCATACTGATTCTGGCTGTTTTGCAATTGGTGGTCTGATGCATACCCTCCAAACACAGGTTTTATCTGTTGTGTAATCTTCAGAAATAATAGTCCTGAAAAACATGCCACACTATCAGAAAAGATTGCTGGTATATATTCTTCACCTTGAGACATCTTGGGATAGGTGTGATCATTTCACCATCCTCATTCACACTCAGGGAGTCTCTCATGTTGTCCACATCCAGACTTAAGTGCTACGTGCCTTAGGAGGTATAGAAGTGTTTTAGGACTTAAAGCCCGGTAAAGCTAGAGCACACGTTTATCAGTCTGCTTCTCTGTTTACATTTGTATTATTATTTCATTATAGTTCTACAATCTGCTAGGCACTGTGGAGGACCTCAAACACCTCACCAAAAAAAGGCTTGTAGGATAAGCAAGAAATAAAAGGAGAAGGTAAATATGCCATTGCCCATTTTAAAAATACAGTCTAGGGTTATGATTAGGTAGATGTTTCTCTCTAAGACTGTGCTGGTTTGTCCAACATTGTATTTTTTCCCTGTGTCATCTTTAACTCCCATCAGGCTTCTGGTGCATTTGTGGCAGTGAGTGCAGCAGGGGGTGTAAATGACTTACTGAGAGGTAGAGGCACGAGTAGGACTGTTTATGCTCTTTCTCCTGATATGATAAGATACAATCCTATATGCATGTTCTAATGTTTTCTTATAATACTTTTCACAAACCTGGTTTGGTTTCTGTTTTTCTTTGTGGAAGAACTTTTCCCTTGGAATGAGGTTTTGATTTCTGCTTTTAGAGGCTTCAAGACAAAAGCAAGATATCTTCTTCCCAAAAAAAGTGTAAGATAAATAACTGGCAGCCAGATTAAAATGCCACTCCCTCAGACCTGATTTATCAGCTTCTAACATCGAAAGCCAAAAATAAAGTAATAGATAACTTATTTTGATGTTGACCCACTACACTACCAGTCCATGAGATATTACTTTGCAAAACATTAAGAAAAAAATGAAGTCTAGGAAAGATACTAAAGCCACAGCCTAGTCTATATTTTTTGTTTATTTCTGATACTATGTGGTTCATGATTGTTTCTTTTAGAAGGAACAAATAATCAATACAAAACCATGAATAAAAATAACTTTTCTTTAAAACTGGATGCTAAAAGAACATATAGTCTTCTTACTGTGCCTGATGGAAACAGTACAAGTCTGTTCTCCACAATTCATTGTTTATTGGAATGCCTGAAATCTATACATGATGTATTTTTAAAACATTTAAACATAGAAGTTAAGCTTCTGCTCCAGTTTGGTTCACCATATTCTAAAAACCCACCATGTACCACAGAAGTGTTTAAAGCAAAGAAGCGATAACAAAACTTTTAAAAAACAAATTTCAGGATAAGATAAAATAATGTCTATATTCTTAAGGAAATTTTTTATTTCCTTATGAGAAACATTTCAGCTATTTATTGATGCAGCTGCTACGTAAGACCTTCAAGGCCCAGTTCTGCTCTGTAGCACTTAAGAGACGAGAGGTGCCAATAGACAACATTTGTCTCTTTCTGAAAGAAATTATAGCTCCTCCAAGTAGAAAACAATCCAAACATTGCTAATGATCTAGAAACTCTGAATGGTGTCTCTCCTTAGAAAGTGGAGAAATAAAACATTTTGGATTAGCATCATTAAGTGAAATGAAGTCAGCAACGTATGGGTGTGAGAGATGCCACCCAGCTACTGGAGTAGGTCTGGACTGGGGATAAATAACTGTATGGGACTCAGGGCCCGTGCCCTGGGTCTTATCCTGCTCAGACATGGACCAGTTAAAGTCCTCCATACCTTTATGCCCCTTTTGTCAAGTTGCAATTCTCTTGTGCTTTACCATCTTCTGATGGAATAGATACTCAATTAAGTTACGTGTTTGCTGTTGACAAGCTAACGTGCAATGCTGTCTTGTAGCATCAGACTCCGCTGTATCACTCTGTGATGTACAAACTGCAAATCTTCCACTTGCAGAGTTTTTACGGAAGTTAGCTGACACCTTACAAGCAGAGGATTTTGAGTGTCCAGCCAAACAAAGTCTACATGTCGGCCAGTCAGCTCTGCTTGAGTGTGCAATTTTCATTCTGCACAAGTGCTGCATAAACAATGAAGACTGAAAGGCAGAGACACTAATTTAGGCCTACTTTATTGCAAACTCTCTTACAGCTAAAGGATCTAATGTACAATTAACTACATGAGCTTAAAATAGTGATGTACATTTTACAGATGACATAATAGTGGCTATAAATGAGACTTTTCCTCAATACCTCCCTAGTTAATGTTTTCAAAATATGAGGTCACTTGTTGAGTCTTCCCCAAATACTTTTGTTAGGATTAGAATATAACTGTTCTCATTAGAACCTATAATTTGCACCTAACCATGGATATTTGATTTGTATCATGTACATCTTGAAAATCTCTGCTTTGACACTGTTTAATTCATGATGTTTTTGTGTGTGTGTGAAATACAACAGTGACTTTATGACCAACAAACATACATGAAGATGTAATAAGCTATGTAATAACTTGCCAAATCAATTTTTTCCGAAGGAGATATATTGTAAGAACCTTCTCTCTTTATGTGTACAGATATGCAATAAGAAAACTTTTGCAATCGTATGTCTATTTCTTCTGAAATCAGTTAACAGAATGTAGTATTTGAAATACCAGTATTTGATGCAAATGAGTTACTTCATACCTGTAATTTTTCAGTCTTTAAAACTGAAAAAGTCCCTGATGCTTGGTTTTTATGGCTTCTTTGCTTCAGAGAGTCTCTATTTCATAAACCGCTGACAACTAATGCTCCTTTATTTTAAGATAACACACTGCCAAATCTAAAGTTTCCGGGTTGATCTTTACTTGCGTTTGAGAAAACCAAACTAATATTAATGTAATTCAGTAATAGTTTGAGTTAATAAAAACTTTTCATAAGAATTAAGAGGATGATCCATACTTCCTAGTGGCTTATAGTTCAAGTCAAATAAAACTTCCCCAAGAATGCAAAGATATTAGAAAAATGAACTTTCATGTTCCTTTAAAATTTCATAATTTAGGCCTTTCCGCACCGTAAGTAAATGTGCAAGCATTTTTCATAGAAGTCAAGCTTTGAAATTTGTTTGGTAGAAATTACTGGCCATATTTAAGCCTATAAGGTATTCTTATGCATTTTTCTTAAAAAAAATAATTTTAATAAATGATAAATATATCTGAACACAAACCAGTAACTAATAACTCATCAATGTAACTTACCTTCCTTCAGCCAAGAAACATTTTGCTTGTCATGTTCAAAACTTTCTGCTGGTTTGATTTTTACCTTGTCTGTCTTGGCTTCTGACATCTGTGGGGGAGAAAAGAATTTTGGGATGTCACATTCTTTCAAAGAAAGTTTCTGACAAAGAAATATGTTCTCTGTTTAGGTTCCTGTTATAATATATTGTGCTTACTTTTTTTTTTTTTTCTGCAGATTATTTATATTATGTAATATCTGAGTCGTTAAAATTATGTTCTGTTCCTAAATGCTTTATCAATATTACATAGTTGCTGTTTGTAGATGGGCTCTTTTGTAATGTAACTATAAATTACATTATGAAATGAATGAGTGATATGCTCATAGCATGCTGGTAATAGATGTACATATAACACATAGAATAGATATGGTCTGGCTAAAAAAGGAGGCATCCAGTCTGCCTGTTTATTGTGGTTCAAAGTTGCTGTAAAGCTTTCTGTCAGAGAGAGGTATAATTATGTAAATAACCATAAATATTTATAAAGGCAACTCGAACAATGTGTATCCAAACCCCAAATCTTTACTGCCACTTGCGACAATTTATTTGCTGTAATGCGAAGAATCACATGCAAGTTACAGTACCTGAGGGTATTATGTATACAGTAGCTATCAGCCCGTACACTGTGGTTTACTTCCATTGCCTGCTAGGAATAAGATTAGGCTGTCCGGGCTTCTTCTAACTGCTTTATATTTTCATTGAATTCAGTTAGCTAAAGCATTTCTCTATTTTTACCTGTATCTTCCAACCGGGGGGGAAAGCAGCAGGGTTCAGACGCCGAGGAGGAGTGCTTTCGGCCGAATCCCTCGCTGTGTGTTGATGTCCAGCATTCCCATACACTGACAAAACCGAAAGGATGAGCAGTGCACTCTCTGCCTGCCTGCTGTGTGGTGCTAGATTTGTCTTGCTGCCAGAATCAGCCAACTTATTGCTGGGTGGTTTTTTTTTTTTTTTTTTTTTTTTTTTTTTGTTTGCATGCACTTCTAGAGCTGGGTAGGGTAGGGAAGGAGCGGGGGGGAGTGGTAATCAGCATCCCAGAACTAGTGGAGTGTAAAAAAATCAAAAGCTTTGGAAAAAAAAAATGTTTTGGAGGGGTTATAGCTGTAGTTCATAACCCAGTGAAGCTGCAAGAGGAGAAAGAAAATAAAAAGGGAACCAGGAAATTAATAGCGACGAATCAGATAAATGTGTCAATGTTTTGGCTAAATGTAAGTTAAATACCGAAGGATGTAGAAATTAGACCGTAAGTGCCTATTTACAGCTGCCACCATGGGAAAGAAACGGTCTGATCATGTGGGGAGCTGAGTGCTGTGACCCTCCTGAGCTCAGGAGGGTAAAATCCATCATCATGCAGGAGAGCAGGTCTGCAGAGGGACAGTCATTACCTCTGTTACAACAAGGCTGAGGGGTCTCTAGTGGGGACAACCCTTGTGCTGGGTGGGTTTCACAGTCAGCAGCACAGAGGGCAGGGGGACAGTCTAGATTACCCTGTACCTTGAAGGCACTAAAAATGTAAGGTTATTAGTGGGCTTTAAAAATTCTCTTGCCATCGTTACCATCAATATTGCTCTGTTAGGAGGAGTAGGGTAAAGCCTAAAGAGAACAAGATTTTAGGGTGCTCTGAAGTTGCATCTTCCTTTTTCTTTAGGACAAAAAGAAAATGTCACTCTGCTTCCCAGAACTGAATTTTGAAAGTGTTGGTTGCAGAGCACATTCAGAATTACTCAGTTATCTTACCTTTTAAGCAATATTTACAAGATTTCAAGCAGCATTTGTCACCAGATACTATAATCCAAGATCCCAGTGCTTAAGTGTGGCCAATAAATAATAACATATTCCCTTTGTTATGACAATTATCTTCCTCTACTCTCCCATCACATGTCATTCTTGCAAGAAAAAATGTTTTCTTTCTTTTTTTTTTTTTTTTTAAATCTCCTGTGCCAACATGACTGAGATTCTTCTACCATCTTTAGCTAATTGTGAATTGCATGGTAAGTGCCTACTTACATCTCCAAATTGCAATGATTAGTCTTGCATGGTTTGAAAACCTATTTTAAGCAGGGTACTTTGGGAATAATTGCAACCACAGGGGGGAAACATCTAGGGGTAATATTTTAAGATCTTTGTTCCATTCCCATTGGATGCAGCTTTGGCAATCATGTATTTTCAATTGCAGTTCCCATCTTTCTCCCAGGAACACCTATTTTTTCCTGGGATGTTGCACCTGCAATGCTTCAAATTTATCAGTGGTGCTGATTCTTCAGCTGAATTTGTCAGAGAGGTCTGTAGAGCTCCTGGTGGGTCCTAATAAAATCATCTGGGCTCCACACAAATCAGCCTAGACATATCTGATTGCAACCTGGATCTGATGCTGCTGTGCATTTCAGAATCACTGTTTAAAATTAAGATATGGGTTGTTTCCAAAACAAACTAGAGAGAAAATTATTTCTCTCTAGTTCATTCGGCACTCCATCTCTGTTTTTCTATAGACTTTGTCAAAATTCTAACGTCTCCTGAAGAAATTAAAGCAGACAATAAAAACCCCTCTAAAACCACTAGACTTAAAAGCTACTGTTGATTGAAAGAACAGCCCCTGAAGTCTTGTCCTTAAGGGTTTTTCTCACTTAAACTCTCCTTGAAACCAGCAGGATCTAGTCCTGAGTCTAGACTCAGCCTCCAGAAGTGCAAGAAACAAGCATCACTGGCAGCCCATTGCAAAATGTATCCTCCAAACCATGACAGTACCAATTTGACAAAACTGGGCAAACACAACCCTGACTTTACATCTGTGCTTCAACAAGGATAATGCAGATTACTGTTCTGAAATAATCTCTTCATCTGCTGTCTCAGCGGAGATGACCTGTAGAACTGTGTGTTGGTAGCATACAAACATTCAGAAGTGACCTAGCCTGAACCTCAGGAAAGAGCCCATCAGTGAGTTAAGAAAACATTCAATGACTTTCCTATTCAGAGTGTTTTCCGTTGTTGACATTCAATTAACGGTCCTAATGTTTTAATCCAGGAACATTAAATGTAACCTTTCTTAATCATGATCAACTCCAGTTTTCTACTGAGCTATGTTTCTGTGTGTTATTTTTTTTTTGTCTCATTTCATTAAGTTATTTTGGATAAATGCATCAATATTTCTGTTTCCTAATCAATCTTAAAGTAGTTAGAGGAAACACAAGCTTGCCACGCATCCTTGGTAATGCTGGGCTTTACAAAGGAGGAAGAAAACATTATGAGAGAAGGTCATTAAAATATTGAGTAAACTTGTTTCTATTAAAGCTGTAATTGAATTTTTAAAGCCATGGCCCATTTTAAACACCGAACTTTAGTTTATGGTTTGATAATTCATTTCACTTTTATTTTATAGGTTTTATTTTATAGCTATTAAATAGCTATGGGCCATCACTTGTTCCTTTTCCTTCCAGATTGTGAAATAGGGCATTTATATGGAGGATAAAATAAAATAAAAAAAAAATCATAATGCCAAAATAGATGTGATATCAATCAGTTGTCAGATAAATGTACTGTATCAAGTGCTTGTTGAGATTCAAGAGTATATTTTTCTGGTCTGCTCAACTGGGAGCACATTCAAGTCTTTGCAGAGTTGGAGAATAGGAAACTTTAATAGGTTGTAATAACCATCAAAGCAGAGGAAAAAACTCATTGTTGGTCCTAACAAGCAACAAAACTGTCAAGGTTTCCTTGTGTGCTTAATGTTAGGTCAGGGGTCCAGAATCAGATCCTGTCTAAGGGAGGGTGTGTAGCTGTAGCTAGGAGAGTTTTTGGTTACATCCATGGGTACAGTATTTACATTATATTTCACTACATAAAGTGACTTTATACTTGAGAATATGAACTGTGTGTCTAGAAGTTGAATTTTCCAGTGTGATTTTTCCACAGTACAGCATTAGATTAAGCAGTTATCTATTTCTTGCACAATCTAAGTAAAATTTAGCCACTTGTCCACTGGCAAGTGGCGCTCTGTAGCTTTGGAATACCCCATACTGCAGTAAATGTGTTGTGTTTTTTTTTTTTTTTTTAAAAAAATAGTATGATGAAACTATACCTTTGCTCCATTTTGCACCCTGGGGTGATCATTTCCAATAATAAAGTGAGTATAATGTGATGTGCCCTGTCAAAGTTAAGGAATCTCTTCTTGATCATGCATCTGTAGGTAGAATATTAAGTTGTGGGAACACAGTATACAGCCAAATTATCCTGGTGATTACATGTAAAATGCATAGTTTTTAAGCCGAACCATCATGTCCTGTGAGTGCTTCAAATGCAAAACAGCCTGTTTATAGCGACTACCTCAAACTGGCACTGACAAATGATCTATATGCTGCAGAGGCTCTAAGCAATACAAAGACAGTAGGATTTTACTCCCCATCACTCTGCCTCATAGACACTAGATAATTTTTCAATAACTGTGTCCTGCAAGGGGACACATGGGGCTTGATTTCACTTTTCCGCTCAGTGCCACAGTAGGTTGGTGAGTGTCTGAGAGCATTCTTAGACCAGAGGATGGAATGAAAGCTTGAAAAGGTGGGTTAGCAGAGAGGTCACTAATAATGTAGAGGAAGCACAAATCAGTAAGATTAAGAATGCTCTGTATTTCCACTGAACAGTAAAGAAAAGAGAGAGACTGCATGTCTTTCATCTTCCAAGAGGGCAGGAGGGAGGTTACTTGTTGTCTGCACTAAAAGGTGATGATGGGGACAATGTTAGGAGAAGAGGACGAAGGGCAAGTGTGAAATAAAGCTGAGAGGATGATATTGTGGTGCTGGGATGGGGAAGGCAGAAAGACCCAGCTTTCAACCCTGGAGCCATGAGAGCTCTGTCCAGGCTGGGAAAGGGCCTCTGAATGCAGCAATATACTTTGGCTATTTTCCTTCCTACCAGCAGCAAATTCTCAGAGGCCTCAGCCAAAATTAAAGCCCAGGCTTTATAGTGACATACGAGCTATGTGTGCCTTTGTATACCCTGGCTTCAAGCAGAAAATCTTCCCATGTCGTTTGATGTTTTGTCCATTGCAGGCCAAGCT